TCCTGTTCATTGTAACAATTGATTTTTTCCATGGATATTATTTCCTGTTATTGCTGCCAAAACTTAAGCTAGGCCTTCATTATCACCCATGGCTTATTGTTTCCAATTTTTCTTCATTCCAATTCTCTCCTTCTACAAATCCACATGTTATCTATCAGTTCCCTCATCCACATACTGCCCGAGTGACCCATTTCAAATACGCATCTGACCATTCCACCTACCTGTTAAAGTGCTTTGATTTCTGAAGAAGAGATCCCTATTCCTGTCTCTGATCATGGTATACAAGGCCTTTTATGATCCATCTTATCTCAAATATTTTATTTCAAGACTATTAAACTACTTGGAATTTTGAACATGTGACACCGTATCAGGCTTGTTATGTATTTGCACATTTTGTTCCTTCTTTTGGAAGCACCTAGCTTCCTAACCAGTGGATTCCTTTTCATATTTCAGTTCGCCCTGTCAACCTTGCCTCTTATGAAATGGCTTTCTCAAATGACTCTTTTCTTCCAATCTTGAACTAGTCACTCTTCCCTGAACCATTTATATGCTAATATATGCAAGTAATTGGAGAAAAGTTAAATGCTTTACTCTGTGGCATTATTAATGCCATTGGAGTTGAGGGCTGACCACCCTCTACATCTAATCCTCTCATAACTTCCTCCCATTCACACAGAGCTTTCTGCTGCCCTCAGAGTGGAGCCCAGTCTCCTGCAGTTGTCCTTGTGCTGAACTGCTTGTAACATCCTTGAACACATCTGGGCAGTGCCTGGAATGTTCTTCCTCTGGGTAGCAGTTCCTCATTCACAAGGTCTCATTTTAGAGGCCACTTCCTTTACAAAGTGAAATCTCTGTATTCTAGACACAAGCCCAGGGTGCTCTCACTTTCCTTTCACTTGTGTAATAATTTCTTATTTGCTATTCATTTCCCCAATAGACTCTGGATTTTGTGACCTCTGACACTATATATATTTGTATCATACATGGTGGCCATAAAGTTTGTGTGCAAAAAATTAGTAAATTACGCACAGGCTTTATAGCCATCCTGTATTTTATTCATCAATGCATCCCAGAAACGTAAATTTTCTGGACCAACAGATACATTGGCATTGAATGAATCAATGAGAATGGAGAAATCACCGAAGACCATATGGTTTGGGAAAACCGTCAAAGGAATACACACACAGTTTGTACACACGGTTCAGATTCAGGGGGCTGTTTTTAATTGCTTTACTTGTTGAATTATCTTAGCACTTCTGCCCCTCAGTATAGGAGCTAAGCATTTGTTTTTGTTGTAAGTGTTTTAAGGTACAGTTTACTCAACC